AGAGAGAGAGAGAGAGAGAGAGAGAGAGAGAGAGAGAGAGAGAGAGAGAGAGAGAGAGAGAGAGAGATAGTGGTCGAGTTTGGGTGGTTTACGATCCTCTATATGGGTTTGATTTAATAGCAAGGTGTAAAGGTCGGCGCACACCAGCCGATTTATCACGCGATTTGATAGGCCCGATAAAAATCAGCCGATATCGGGTAGGTGTGCGCGTTCATTTGTAGACGATTTTACTTACGATTATTTTTATCGGGTGATCGTTCCAAATCAAACATGTTTTTGAAGCGATTTTTTGAACAGCCAATAGCTGAACGTGCCCGTGTCACATGACATTCAAAATGGCGCCTACCATCAACAAAATAACCAATTTTATCGTAAGTGTGCATGATGTTTATCGGAAGGCGTCGCGCTGAGCCGATTTTACATACGATGAAGAGATTTTTTAATCGGACCGATTTCTGGGAAAATCATTTTAGGTGTGCGCCGGCCTTTAACCTCAATTCACCAGAAGTCATCACACAAAAGATTGCCTCATACGTACGTCTCCACGATGTCCAAACGCCTAAAAACCAATGACGCCGAGGAAAGCGAAGAGTTCTTTCCAGGTTTGTTTGCTATATCTGTCGTACAGGCTAGCCGTATATTTCCTGAAGGTACTATAGAATCAAGCGAGTATCATGTATTTTGTCATGTGTATTCCTTGTCATTACGATTAGTAGGCCCTACTATAGTACATACTTATTGCCACGTATTATATATAATGTAAGCGATGATAATTAGATCATGTGCTATAAATCTTTATAACACATTGTCTCTTTTGATTGTTGCCGAGTCTGGGGCGATAAATATGAACTTCGACCACAGAAAGAGAGACGGTTTTCGCATATCCCACACTGGTTACTGCACGCTTTCCAACGCTGCTGGCGACGTATATGCCAAACTACGTACCCTGCACGTCCGCGCGCTCGCCTAGCTTCAGCAACAGCGCAATGCGTAAGCACGCTGCATAGGCTATGTGAGTTTTACTGTCAGGATAACATGTGGCGTACCCTGGTTGACGGAGCTGGTCATTCATGCACAGTAATAAATATCCGCGTCTGTTTGCCGGATACGTTACAATCATAGGCCTCGAGAGTGCAAGGGATATTATCGCACTTTTTCCTAGTTTCTCGTGGGATATTTCGCCTCGTTCGCTGCGTCGCTTAATCTTGTTTCTATATAACAGGCTTCCCCCAGCAAAGCTATACCCGCGCTGCAGAGAAACGAGCTTTTGCTTGCAGATATAGATATAGATGGACAATAGGTTATTGCTTGATAACTTTGGAAAAAATCATACGTGATAGGAAGTACTCGTAACAGTAATCCCATAGCTAAAAAATAATTCACGTAAAAATTGTATAACGTATTATTAATTAGTAATAAAAACCCGTTACAAACCGTTTACAACTGCCCGTTTTAAATTTAATAATTGTAACTGAATAATATATTGATATTACTATACAATATTTAATAATTTTATTAATTTTATTTAAGTTATACCCCGCCCAAGCATTCTAAACTCATTCTACAGCAAGTGCTGAATGAAGCAAATCTGCTTAAAGTACGTTGCTCAAGGGCACAACAGCGTTCGTAACCAAGGCAGGACTCGAAGCCCATGCATACCCTTCCGCCAGCCTGATTCTGATCTTATTATTTCTTACAACGTGTGTGTGTGTGTTGGGTGGAGGGTAGGTTGAGATAATGTGAAAAAAGAATTCGCGCTCATATATCGTCTGTATATCGTCTGCGCGTGAGATAAGATGGCTGAGCGTGTTTCAGATATCCAGGCTATAGAGTACCGACCGGACGCCTCACCCGACGATACGCTATGCTTCAAACACTACAATCCGAAACAGGTAAACATGCACACACCGCACCCCTCGCCCGTAAATAGCGACTACACGCGATGCTATCTATATATACACGAGTGCTGCGGTAGTGGTATCATCGTGGGTACACCATGATTCTATGTTGATAATATTGACTATAATTATAAAAAAATTAAATGACGCGTTCCAGCAAAACCAGGATTAAGTAGGAAATTCTACAAATTGAATTATGTGCATATCTGAATAGATCATTTAATTACCTTTAAAATGATATATAATATTTGGCTATATCTAAAGAATTGACCGATCTATAGCAATTTGAAAATCGGAAACCGACTTATTCCGGAATATGCATTTTTTTTTTTAAATGATCATAACAATCTAGAGATATCTGAACCTATATACCGGATTAAATATGCACTTAGGAACTTATTTTTGTAAAAACCTCATTTTTGTCCAGGATGGCCTACATTTTCAGCATTGACATGTGTGCGTGCTCATTACTCAAAACAATGACTTGCGACTTAGTCCATATTATGCTGGAGCGGGTCACCACTATTAAAATCAAAACTTTCGGCTAGATATTGCTCGTATACGCTTTCTACAAACGTTTAATCTTCGCGCCTTGTCAAACGATCTTATTAGACATAATAAGTGTTGTGCATGGAATAAATTGGATGTATATATATATATATACATTGGAATACAACCACCTACATTGCCGAGCATGCACAGTGTGTGCGTGAGTGCGCAACATACGCGGCAGGGCGGATCAACCGACTCCTGGCTGGTTTGCGTGCGACGCTAAAAATTATTCGACAGTCACAAGCAATGAACCCCACAATACAATTAGTATTAGCAGTTTAGGCTACACGTAGAAGCCAGGAGCTCTGCCGGTAATGATCTCCTGGGACAATGTCACCGCCAAGTACACACCAGGTGGCGGTGCAATTGATGCTTGTGTAATCACTTCTCTCACCTGGTTTTGTTACGCAGGTGGTGATGGGAAAGACAATGGAGGAGTGGCTTCGTTTCTCCGTTTGTTTCTGGCACACCTTTAGAGGAACAGGTATCTACTATGTAGCTTCATCATATAGTATAGATAACCCATCCTCTCTTCATGATATACAATTTGGACAAAGACTAGATAACCTTGTACATTTGTGATAGTTAATAATAGTTTACGTTAGATTGATTTTAACTCGATAACTAGATTGGTATTTATACATATATATATTTCGATCGGAAATTGTAAAAGTTGAAAAGTGAGGTCAAACAAGAGAATTGCCCATTCCTGGGATAGACCTTGGTGTATGGTGCTTTATCTAGCAACAGGTGACGCTGGTAAGTTTTTTCATACTCGCAGTCCGTTTTGCAAGCGGGAGGCTGCGAACTAAATATGTTGCGTTCTCTCACACTCGGTCTGTCTCCTCCTCTCTCTTGCCTTATCTATTTGTCGCTCTGTCTATTTCTTTTCTCTTGTTTGTCTCGATATCATTGCCTGTTTGTTCGTTTCTCTCTTCCTCTCTCCCTCTCTTTCTTCTCTCTCTCTCCTTCTCTCTCTCCCCTTCTCTCTCCTTTTCTCTCTCTCTCTCCTCTCTCCTTCTCCTTCTCTCTCTCCTTCTCTCTCCCTCTCTCTCCTCTCTCTCTCTTTCTCTCTCCTTTTCACTCTTTCTCTCCTTCTCTCTCAAATTGACGACAAGCGATAACATCGTGTCGATGCAACGATAATTTTCCTTTTCACCCGCGCGTCGTCTCTGGAGATTTCTACCGACAGTGGCGGCAGCGCGGCGACGCTATTTGTCAGCGTGTGCGACGCTCGGATCTCGCGCTTGCCGACGTCTATAGAAGCTGCATGATGCGCTAACAGGGTCGTCGGCGCTGCTGCATGCGCTGTGGCTTGAAGCCGGAGGGTTCTCCACGTGTCACCTCACGCGATGTCCCGCGACAGCGGACTCTCTCTCTCTTCTCTCTCTCTCTCTCTCTCTCTCTTCTCTCTCTCTCTCTCTCTCT